TATACAATAGTGAAGAGGTCAAATGTAACAGACTCGCTAATAAGTGTTCTCTTTAGAATGGTTCGTCGTTGGCCCAGGTCAGCGCATAAGCAATATTCAAGTTGTGGTGGTTCAGGGGTCTTTTTCTAAACAGTTTCCACATATAATGGATTCCGAAGATGGCCTGAAATATTTTGATACTAGAGTTAGCATATTAGACTCGCGAATGACCACTGCAAATGCGGGAGGAATCAGAAGAGAGAGTCAAAGCGCGTGACCACGCTTGTATTATGTGAAATTGTGCGAGTGCGGCTTTTTGTAGTTTTTCGTATTGAAACAAAAAAACAAAAACAGTGGATGAAATACCTAGTGTTATAATGGAAGTCAAATAAATGTATAAATCGCCACAAAGGACAACGGTCACTCCAACACCGACCAGGCTACGATGACGAGGGATACCAAGGTCAAAGGTCACGGGGGGAATCGGCGAATGAGGACACGGGATAACAGAACAAACAATGGAACCGCCCGACCGAACCACTAATCATGATCAAAGGTCATCCCCGGCTACCATCACGTACACTGACACACACGTAACACCACTCAACGCACAACCACTAACCCACCGCTGCGCACAACTACTCTCCCCAATAACACACTAATGATGTCACCTCGATTGGTGATGAAAAGTTGGCAATCAAATTGCCCAGCTCAGTGAACAAGCCAACGACCACTTACGCTACCTGAGCTACCGACATTTTCCTCTATAGAACAGCCCAAACCTTTTAGACACTCAAGTCTGCATTTTGCAGACGACTTGAAATCCTGGAGTTCAAATACCATATCGCTCTAAATTGATGTAGGTGCTGCAAAGCGAACGTTGGTCTGGAAACTCCGGCGAAAGCCTCGATCCTGCGTGTCAACCCGTGGAATCTTGAATACCTGGAAGGCCAGCTGTTGATTGGCCGTGCAAACAGCCAATCATTAATAAAGTCGCTGTGTTCTCGCTGTGTGAGGCATTCCGTCGCCGGGGGTTGTAGTCGGCTACAACAGTACCGGACGGACTAATTATGTCATTCCCTGCGCTTCCATACCTGCCGATGAAGAATGATGCCCTGGGTCTCCTGTCTAGTTCAGCTTATCGTCGATTGCAGTGCGCGTTGGCTGAAACACATGGAAGATTGGCAACGGTGTTGGAGATGCATGTTCGTCTTCTGAAACATTTTCGACTAGGATATCATCCATTCATGAATGGATAATACATATGTCATTTATGTTGCACTGAGGCAAAAAACGGAACCATTTTTTAACTACCGTACGGAAGTATCCGCCCAAATGCTTGTAGGCTCGAATCGAGTGGAAGACGTCACACCCGAGACGGCGGATGTTGTCCGACATGTCTCCTCTCGGGCATTTGCTATGCCACCTCAGCTTACTGCGGTTATTGAGCACTGGTGATCTGAAGCTAATGAGGAGGAAGGTAAAATGCCGACTGACAGACGAACAGATGATGCCATCAATTGCAACTGTAACCGAACGCCAAAAGGACGGGCTTATGGTGTTCGGTGCAGCAGGCGAGATTGAACTAAATGGAGTCTGGTGAGAAGTCATTCCATCCTATTGCAGTTGATGATGATGACGATGATCCCAAATGCGACCCCGGTATGCTTACTCAATACAACTTTGAAGCCCATATACACAGCACCGTTACGAGCTAAGCGAACCAAAGATCCGTAATTACTCCGGAGGGCAACCTCTCTTAACGCCAATCCTCACCATTTTTAGAGTACTGACAGTTGACGCCCTGCTTAGGCGACAAAGGAGAGCAGCATACTCTAGAACGGGAACAGCGGGTGGGAACCCGAATGGTTGCGGGGATGATAGTCGCATGGCTAGGAATGTTGGTCGTGGATTCCTTCAGGCTCAGGTGTAAACGGCACAAGAGAGGTCTCTTATTGTATTCAAAATGAAAAGCACTACCCTGAGCTTGTGCGCTCGTTCCAATCAGCACACGTATTGCACGTGGATGACCGCGAACACAAGTTAGATCACAACACACAAAAGAGTTCCTCCAAATCTTCCGAATTTGAAGACCTATGAGTTTGACTGCTGATGCAGGTAGTTCATTCAGACACTCGTCCTGCACATGTCTGAAGGTATTTTTCGATAGGTCTTGTATCAAGAGCTTCCGGACACGAGACCTCAAATGTCGTGAAATATGGGGTCAGTCTCACTTATTTATGGACAGATCGAGAAATCAGGTACATTGGCTCCTCCAACTCACTGGATCCGAGTGGATGTCACTAAATTTGATCAAAGGTTGTCGGACCACCTTTCCCTCCACCTGGTGGGTTTTCAGATTCTGAAGCTGTCGGTGGTGTGTTACACGATTATGTCTTAACGAAGCCACCGTCATAGAGTGACAGCACTAAACCGCGGTTCGATGGTTTGTGCACCGCTACAACCCAATGGGCTCTACTGGGGGTCGTGCGTATGGCACTCACAGAGCCTCTCAGGTAAAGATCTGACTGACGCTGTCTTCCCGTCTTCCAGTTTAAGGTCGACTTGGGCATTGATACAAATTTCCGTTCATTTTGTAGTGCAGCAATTGACTCACGATGGCGTTGTACGGGCACGAGGTAGCTCAGCGATTTTACTGACGGGAGGGCTCGTGATTTGGGCTCATCCCTGACCTCTCGATTGTCCTTGTTTAGGCTTAGGTAATCTGGTATCATCTTAGCCCTCGTGCTTCTTTCGGGTAACATGACGGCTCCGCACCGAAGGGGTGTTGCAGCTGAAAGACATCTCATACATCTTATGCCGTGCACTCGTATGTATATGCTTTCCCTCGGAAAGACGCTGGATGATGCAAGGTCATTCACCTCATCACCTGCAGAGAGTCCCTGTAGCCCAACGTTATCCACTGAGTTGATTCGAAACTTTCTAGTACTTGGCGAATACAATATTAATAATGGTGGTTTGTTTGAAGACTGAAAGAAGATGCAAGAGGCCATGGTAACAGCTTCCAAATCCGTCTGCCCGAGGCGAACACTGGATCTCGTCGTAATCGACGGCCATGGTTGATACCATGAAAATATAATAACAACAACTGACTATTATGGCTGGCACCCACCAAGGAGTGCCCCGGAAGTTTGTAGACATCATACGTTCTTTGTATTCTCAGACTTCCGGACGTGTGAGAGTGTACGGAGAGCTCTCCAAAAGCTTCCGCACACAAAGCGGTGTCCGTCAGGGATGCCCACTCTCTCCATTCATTTTTAACTTTGTGATCGATGAAATAATGAGACGAACGCTGCAAGGTCTCCAAAACCCTGGTGTTCAAATAGCCTTTGAAGAAGACCTTGTCGATCCGGAATATGCGGATGACATCGTTCTCATGTTCGAAGAGGAGGAGAAGGTGCAAGTATTCTTGGATGAACTGACCAAAGTCATCCCGTCCTTTGGTATGCATTTTGCACCCACAAAGTGTAAGGTCATGCTTGTGGACGTGCAGTCACTGACCGGAATATGCCGATGACATCGTTCTCATGTTCGAAGAGGAGGAGAAGGTGCAGGTGTTTTTGGATGAACGACCAAAATCATCGCGTCCTTTGGTATGCACTTTGCAACCACAAAGTTTAAGGTCGTGCTGGTGCATGTGCAGTCACTGAACATTCCACTTGCAATCCAGGGAGAGGCACTGGACGTTGTGGAGCGTTTTACGTATCTTGGAAGTTGTATTAGTTCTGATTGCAGTGTGACAGATGAGGTGAATGCACGAATCTGCAAGGCTCGGGTCGCGTTTGCTAACTTGAGACACCTATGGCGTCAGAATGGTTTATCCCTGAATCTGAAGGGACGTGTTTATCAAGCTACAGTACGGCTGTTTTGTTGTATGGCTGTGAGACTTGGCCTATTCGAGCAGTGGAC